TTGAGCAGAGAAATTAATGGAGGGCTAAGAATGGTGGCCAAACAGATACCAGAGAGAAGAATTGTGATGGTACAGAGCAAGTCTGTCAGCTGTGTTTTAATCTAAGGAAGGGGATTGTTACAGCTGGAATTGAAACAAGGGGAGAATTGTAGAAGATGGGCTTTAGAAGTAAAGCCATGTGGTGTGGGCCAGTAATGAGGAAGGTTGGCTTTGTACAATACCAAGAATATAAAATACTTAAAGGATATTTGGCATTTGTTCTTGGTAAAAAAGGAGAGCCAGAAAGAACTCTCTCTCTTTCTCTCTTTCTGTGTATGTGTGTATATGAGTGGTACCTTGCACATTATCCTCAGAAACACTGCTCATCTACTTTGATTTCTGGCTGGCCAGTGAGTTTCAGGAATCTTCCTTTCTCTGTCTCCCTAGCACTGGATTGTTAGTGTAAACCATCATGCTTGGCATTTTTACAGGTTTTTGTAGATTAGACTCAGGTCTTCATGCTTATAAGTCAATCACTTAATAACTGAGTACCTCTTCATCCATTGTTATATTTTTTAATTTTTGAGACAGGGGCTCATGTAACCTTGGCTGACCTTGGACTCCTGCCTTCTGAGTCCTGATATTACAGTGTATTTTTATAAAAAAAATGTGGTTTGATTTGAGTGAAGGTTTATCCTCAGAAAGGTTTGGTTATTACTGGACAAATAAAAATAGATATACATTAGAGTAAAATTAATAAAGTTCTTTTGATACCCTGTCAGGGTCAGAGATATACTTGCATGCAAGTTGGTATAACTTTTGCCTGGGAACTTCTAAAGCAGTGTATGGATTATTTAATAAATGGGTCATGGAAGTTTTTTTCTGGACTGGCTCAGTCTTCAAAACACAGAAGGACTTTGGTTGGCAAATGTTCCATATTATTCATGTCCACTTACTTATAAAAGATTATCTCCTTTTCTACAATTGTAAAGGATATTCTGTAGTTTTTATGCCTAATAGTTCTCCCAGTGTATATGGTTTTGACTCACACTTAAATTTTTATGTTTCTATTTTTGTTTAAGAGACAATTGGAAATGAATAGGTGCAGAAAACTGCACAATTTAACCACATAAGAAGGTTAACCACATTTGGCACAGAAGGAAATTAGATTGTGTGCACTACAATTTCATACTTTTGGCACTGTTATTTTGGGAAGAAAATACACTTTGTTGAATGCTGTTATACAGTTTCTAGTATGTATCTGAAAATTTTAGCTCTAAGCATTCATGTGTGGTATGAATTTGGGAATCATCATTGCTCACTGAGCAAAAAGAGTGTTGAATTAAAGTAAAATTTGAAAGCTGTTTGACCGAGCAGAATTGGTAGAGTTGCTGTTGGTGTGTGGGGAGTGGGGTTGTGTAGGTGTGTCTATACATGAGTCAGTGTAGACAAAATATTCATTGAGTTCCTTTAAGATTACAATAGTGGAGGATGGGAGGGAAACACACTCACACATTCATGTATATAGTCACTCATATACCCATACACCAGACTTCTTACAGCACTTTAGTTTTGTGTACCTTTAAGATTTCTAGAAAATGAAAATGTTTATGTCTAGATTATAATACCTTGTATTTTTAAAAACATATCCTAAAGAGACATGAAAAACCTTTGACAGATTTTATATTCTGATTTAGTATTAGGAAATTCCTTTTAAAACAGGTTTGTTTTTAATGTGCTGCTTTCTTGGATATGCATGTTGAAGTGGGATGTATTCATCTTGAGTTTACAAAACCATGAACTCCATATTATTTAAAAGACCTTTAATAACTTCCCAACTGGTATTGGTCCAAAATAGACTGCCATAAATACATTTTATTATTTTACATATTATTTTGGTTTAACAAACTGCTGTGTAATAGTAGACAGTAAATTATAGTTGAGATGGTGTATTGGAATGTATGTCAGGAACTAACTGGATATTACATAGACTGAGAATGTTAAGAATAATTTACTTTAGAAATAATTTAATCCAACTTTCTATCTGATGCTGGATTTATCCTCGTATATCCAAAACAATTAATTTATTCATTAAGAAATATTTATTGAGCCCAGGCTGCTTTCAGTCATCGTGCTAAGGGTGTGTTCATGAAAAAAGTAAAAGTAGGCAAGTCCATGCCCTACTGAAGATAGTTCAGTGGTCTCTCTTATAATTAAGTACTCAGTGAGTATCAGCAAATTATTTATTTATTTAGTTATAATTTGAAAATTTCTTTCCATGCCTGTGAGATGACTTAGCAAGTAAAGGTGCTTACCACCAAGACTGACAACCTGAGTTTGATCTCAGGACCCATGAGGAGAATCAACTTCTACAAGTTGTTCTCTGATTTCTACATGTGCATGGTGGCATGCATGCATACAGATATACACACATAAGTATACACCATACATTAATAATGTAATAGTTAAAATTTTTTCCTCAGTGATTTTTAAGTTTCCAATATAGATCCTGTACATTTTTTTGATTATACCTGTGTTATTTTTAGAAAGCAGTATTGTGCGCTCTTTCCCTCTCTCGCTCTCTGTGTGTATGGGTGTTTGTGTATTTGGGAAGCCTGAGGTCAGTATTGTGTGTCTTTCTCAATCACTTTCTACCTAATTAAACATTTTTTTTAATATTTGGCGTTTTTGAGACAGTGTTTTTCTGTGTAGCACTGACTGTTTTGTAACCCACTCTGTAGATCAGACTAGACTTGAAGTCAGAGATCCGCCTTGTCTCTGCTCCTGAGTGTTGGAATTAAAGGCATGTGCCAGTATTCTTAGCTTCCACCAAATTTTCTGAGACAGGTTCTTATTGAACCTGGAACTCATTGGTTTGTTTAGACTGGCTGGCCCTGTGAGCTCCAGAGATACCCCTCTCTGCCTCCAGTGTTGGAAGTACAGATGCATGGCATGGTGTCTGGCCCCTTTTTTCTGGGTTGTGGAGATCACATTTAGATCCTGATGCTTGTGGGGCAAGCATTTTACTGGCTGTGTCATTTCCCCAACCACAGTGTTGTCTTATGAATTTTATATTCTAATTGTTGTGTGGAGGGAAGACATTTGCTTTTGCATGTGAACCTTGAATTTTGCAGCCTTTCTATATTTGCTCATTAGTTCTAGGTTTGTTTATTTATTTGTTCATTCATTCATTCATGGTAGGTTCTTTGAGGACTTTTGCTTTGGCATTCAGGTGATATGCGAGTAAAGACAGTTTACTTTATTCATTTCAAATCTGTCTTTCTTTTATTTCTTAGGGTGTTAAGTCAGAATGTCAGAGAGGGCAACTTTGTATTGTCCCAGTATGTCTTAAGTTTTTGCTAGTTGTAGCTTTTTTTTTGATTTTCTTTTTCAAATGGAGAAAGTTCAGTAAATGTTTCAGTGAGAATTTTATTCATAAATGAATGTTGAATTTTGTCAATTATATTTTATTAGCTGATCTAGCCATGGTTTTCTTTAGTCTTTTGATACATTTGATTACTTAGGTAGTATTTTTGTGGATGTATGTGTATATGGTGTGAGTGTTGGTATGTATGGGTGTGCACACTTTGGTGTACATGCATGTGGAAGCTAGAGGTTGATGCTGGAGGTGTTCCCTAGCCACTTTCCACCTTATTTTTTTTGACATAGACATCTAGAGAGATGAACCCGGAGCTTATCGATTTTGCTAGTCTGGCTGGCCATTGAAGTGCAGGGATCTACTTGTCTCTGAACCTCCAGTACCCCAATTATAGATGCATACTTCTGTCCCTGACTTTAGTGGATTAGGATCCAGACTCCATTTCTAATGCTTATGTGTCAATACTTTATCCGCAGAGCTACTTTTCTGGCTCTCATTGATGGGTTTTGAATGGTGAACCAATCTTGTATACCTCGTGTACAATTTGTGTGCATTGTTAGGTATTGTTTTCTAGTATTGAGAATTTTTTAAAAATCTAGATATATTGGTCTATAGTTTTCTTGTAATCTAGTTTTAGTATAATGCCATAATACCAGGTCTCTACCAAACTTTTAAAAGATAATATTAATTCTCTATGATCACTTTAATGGTGTTGTAGCTCTTATTTTTTATTGATGATTATGTGATTTCCTCAACCCTGTTTTCCATTCCTGGTGCTATTCTTTCTTTTGCCTAGTTGACTTCATTGGTGCTGTTTTCTGCTGTTGTCATTGTTGTTGTCTTCATCTTCTTCTTTTTTTTTTTTATTGAGAATAGGAAAAAAAAATTTCCGCCTCCTCCCAGCCTCCCATTTCCCTCCCCCTCCCCCCACTTTCTCCCCCTCCCCCCACTCTTCTCCCCCTCCCCCACTCCTCTCCCCCTCCCTCTCCAATCCAAAGAGCAGTCA